ACAGTGCAGTTGAGAGAGGCCCATACTCGAAGAGTTTCAGTTGCATATGTCAGTCTCCTTCATGTATCCCAATTTTGCTACATAACTTAACCATCTAGTCAGCTAGCACATTCGCGTTGGCAGTGAGCAAATGCTACCGCAGCACATCATAAATGTTTTTTTCCTAACACGTTCAACACTAGTTAACGGCGAACGTCGCAGTGGGATGCTCCTCGACGAATTTCATGATTCGCACGTGCGTCTGGGTAATGTCAACTAACCTGTCTCTTACGCCTGGCGTAGATGGGTAATCTGGAGAGACTCCCGCCTGGTGCATGCTCTGCTATTGTTCCTTGTACTGGGACACTGGATCATGTTGGCGATTGGTCCGTGCCCATCTCCAGTCTGCTCCTGCCACTCATGCCTACATTCAACCTTAGACGTGGTGAATATCAGAGCAATCAACGTGGGCCATGTTTGTGATGTGTATCTCAACTAATATCCGCAAATGGATGCTATAACCCTCATATACAGTAAGTCGGGTCACTATTACATCTAAACTGGCGCCGTGCTCATTCGATGTATTAAAGCCATGATCGTTGACTTTCTTGTCCTCGTCCTGTTGGTTGTGGGGTTGTCAAGTCAACGATCCAAATCCCCTTTAAAGAAACGTTTACGCATACAAGGCATCTTGTATTGTGCTGTGGCAGGTGTGACCTATATCTCAACAGTGGTTTGTGGTCATTTCTCTCTACCCCGCGCCGTGTTTTCAATGGTCATCATTAGGTTGTTGTTCTGCTCCATAACCCAGGTAAGATGGAAATTGTTGCTTCGGCATTGCTGTGATTCAATCGTAATCCAGCCGTGTTTGACCTTATTTCCGAGCTTGGTAAGTCAGTAACCCACGGAGGTGTGCGCAAGACTCGACTCACAAGGTTCTGCAGCCGTCGTTGTAATGTACGCTCTATTATGCGTTCCCGCTAGCATCAGACTGCAAGAACCAGCTGACATCGACACCCACTTTAGCACGATTGTATCGTCCAGGGCGGTGATATCATTGCGCTCTCTCGCTGCTTGTGATTCAGAGTATGTACGACAATGAATTGGATGGCGTACTATGCGCTAACGCTTACTCGATGCTGGACAGCAACGTCACGTTGACCACTCAAATTTCGATTCAACACACGGTAGTTTAGCATCCCGAGTGAACGACAGCGTGTCGTGATGGGGCCGGTTGGCGTCAAGCATTGTCTGTAGGTTAGAGTCGATTATCTGCCCTCATAAGATAGGATATACGCTTAGCTAAGCAAGATATATCCTTCATTGCTTTGCGTCCCCAATCAACGATATCGATGTCGTTCCGCAAGATCGACGTCGACGCGTACGACGAAGACGTCCTTCAAGACACAGAACTCTACGCCCCCGATCCGCGCGAGCCCGCGCAGGTTCTGAGCGATACCAAGCAAAAGCAGCTCGCCGTGCGCAGTGCGTTGAACAAGTGCGTCACTCCCGCTCTCTCTCTTTGGCTTGTGGTTCGTGACTGAAACTGAACCCAACGTTGCGTTGTACGTCGTGCGCCGCTTGGGTATTTGAAGGGGTGATATTACGAGTGCGCTCACCGTCGCGCTGGACGGTCCGCCGTATGGACCCAACGTCGAGGAAGCCAAGGTACTGTCCCCTGTCCTTGTCGCGCCTCGCTCCCTTTTGCCTCTCCAATCCCCCCTTCTCATACCCATCTCGATTCTCGACGCACGTCATTGACCGATACCATCTCATCCGATTCTTCACAACCAGAACCTCGCCCTCCAAATTGTCGTCTCCGTGCTCAACAGCACCAAATCAACAGACGTCCCTTCCATCCTCCGATCGCTCTCCCAGGACGAACAAGACACGCTGATGAAGTACGTTTACAAGGGGATGGGGATGCCTGGGTGGGGGGACGTCAGCGGGAGCGTGTTGCTCGGGTGGCATGAAAAGGTGCGTTATTGGTGCGTCGTGTGGTTCCACAACGTTGATGGCTCAGTCGGGCTGGGTAGTTGACCGAGATTGCGGGGACGGGATGTATCGTGCGCGTCATGACCGATCGCAAGACTGTATAATCATTCCTACGTCGTATCTGATTCTTACTCATCCCATCGTCTGCATCCCTTTCCACCAAGACAGCCTGACCAAGAAGGATTCTATTCTATATGCACCATGGTCTATCTATTCGGAGCACACTCTCTTATAAGGGAACCCATATTATGTCTCGCGATCATAGGCTCTCCCCTTTGCTTCGCGCTTCTGCGAGACTCAGTTCGATCGCAAGCCTTAAATCGTCGTCCATCTCGTCCGCATCTGATACCTCGACACCGGACTTTTCTTTGTGCCGCGCGATATCTGCCGATAACAGCGACATATTGGACGAGCGTGTTCTCGTCATGACAGGCGTCACCACACGCGAGCGTGGAGACGACGAACCAGGTGAGGGCGAGACGGATTTCAAAGGGATACTCCACGCTGAACGAGGCTGCTCAGGGCTCCCAGACGCTCCTCGTCTAGAACTCGACGTCGAAGACAGACTAGAGCTGATGGCTGGAAAGTGGTCCAGAGAAGATGACGACGTGCTACGTGTCGCCATCGGACTCGGCTGCGCATTCGTTCCGATTGCAAGCGATGTAAGCGGGCTGATGCTCGTGCCGGCTTCTATGGGCTCAGGCACGAATGGCGGTGACACCTGCACTTTCTCGTTTGAGATCGGGAGTGAGACGCGCGGGTATTGGCGGCCATTTACATGGTGAGTTGAAGACGACTGGAATGGTGATAATGGGGTGGAAGGGGTGGACCGAGAGGACGGCGGTGTACCAGGGAGGTCGTCGAAATCGCCCTCGAACACCCCTTCGTCGACGACCATTCTTTGCTGCCGCGCTTCCTCCTCGTCGCGCGAGAGCATCAACATGTACTCGACAGCCTCCGACTCTGAGAGACCGAGCGTATTCAACGTAGACCTCTGCTCACGCTCCGGACCATATATGCGCTGTGCATGCGCTCTCTCGTACTCAAGTTCCATGTAGGACTCGGCTATATCCTTGTACATCTCGTATTGTTCTGAAATGCAGGTCAGAGCGTGAGTCGGAAACAAGTACAGGGAGACTTACGTTGTCCCTTTGTGGTGACATTGAGCTTGGTATTGGCATGTTTGGGCTTCTTGTGTCGGTGCTCGCGGCCGTTGGTTGATCCAACCTTCCACGTCATTACGCGGTTCCCGACGACGACGAGCACGAGTCCCTCGTTCAGCAAGATTCGACTGACAGCATCCCAATCGTCTCCCGGTGCTGGGCGAGGCGCTGGGGTGGAAAGGCAACACATGTCCTCTAGAGTGAGGGGTTCCCAGATGGCGGTGGTACCGGTAGCAGTACCGGTAGCAAGGAGAGTAGGGATGTATGATATAGCCGTCACTGCATCTGAGTGTGCCTCGAACCTATGAACGGGTGCGACAGGGGCTTGCGGAGGAGCGTCGACATCATAGATGCTAACAAAACCAAGTAGATCACCGACGATGACCATGTTATTTTCGCGGGAACTTGTCGAGAAGACGGGCTCTAGGGCAGTGACATTTCCAAAAGAACTATCGCCAAAGGAGGTGGTTGTCACGTCATGGGATCGAATGTCTACATGGACGCGATAGAATTGTGGATGATGTGTGTACTGAACAAGGAGTAGCACGGTTGAGTCTCCCACGCGGTGCAACCACAACTTGGCAATCTGCGGTTCTGGCAACGGTTCATCCCCTCGGACGGTCGGCTGAGATTTCGCCCGGTGCATGGGAGAAGAAACCCGGAGTTGGTGCATGGAATGGACACGACGTCCACCAGAGGGAGTCTCGGACTCGTGTAGGTCACAGATAAGGATATCCCCGCTCTTGAGCGCACCAGCGATAAAGCCATCGCTGAGGCAACCAGTAATACTGATAAACGGGTCCGTGACGAGAGACAGCTGTTGCTTATCAGTAGACCAGAGGAGCCGAAGCGTCTTGGTGTCCCAAAGCTTGACGCGCCCATCGGCGCCAGCGGACAAGAAGGAGTTTGAATCGGAATCAGCGACGAGTTGTTGCACAGCGCCCTCGTGCTGATCGTCGACGCTGCATTGGATAAACTTGGATGCAGCGCGAGAGTCCATGACACGCTTCGCGACTGTGAGCGCGACTTCACCGTTGCGCTTTCCCCAAAAGACGCGGGCAGTGCCGCCATCGGAGGATATTGTGCATGCGGAGATATTGGGAGCAAATTCGGCGTCGGGGTTCCCGATACCTAGTCCGGTTCCGGAGGTGTCAAGGTAGCCTTTCAACAGCTTGCCGTTGAAAGGGATCGAGCGGGCGACAATGCCGGACTGGATAGACGATGTCAAGAGGGCATTATCGGACATGAGATGAACCGCATCGATGGTCGATTCCTGAGGTTCATAGGTGACGGTCGAACTGCGGGAGCTTGCCCAACGTCTGGGATGCGAATAAGTGCGATACGGTCGATCGGAGTGAGAGGAACGCACTGGTTGGTTGTGTAGCGGTGAATAAATTCTTTGCGCCAGGTGTTCTCTGTGCGCCTCAAGAGCAAGCTGTGTTTCTTGTCGAGGTCATGCTCGGGGCCGATGCCGAGGAACTGGGTGAGAAAGGCGCGGAGCCAGGTGTTGTCGTCGTCTACGTGTTGGCAGAGGGGCCTGCAGGTGCGGGCGAGAGCGAGGAGAGAGGGGAGGGGGAGGTAGGAGGAGATGTGGGTGAGAGACTCTTTGGGAAGGTCGAGCAGAAGAGAGCCATGTTGGTGATGTTGGTCTGTGGTCGTTTGCGAAGACTTGTTGTTACGAGCGGATACTTTGGAATAAAATTGTGTGGGTCGAGTTGGCATATAATGGCAGAAAAGTTCGCAAAATCAGTGGCGATCGCAGACAAACTGAATGTCGCCTGCGAGGGAGTGGAGAGTGTCAGAGGAAGGAACACTTCTTAAGGTAAGCACGGGTCCCGCTCGGAGAAAAAAAAATTAACTGGAAGGTCTTGCCAGGACTCGAACCTGGGTTTTGGGAACAGGTCTTCAGAATCCCAAGTGATAACCGCTACACTACAAGACCATGAAAGCAGGACAGGAAGCGATCATTGTTGTCGAATCACAAGCCTTCTCAACCCCGTTAGGAGCATTGACGACTCAGTGCTCTCATGTCTACCCAACTATACGGACAACCCTTCACATCTACACGCGAAAGCATCGCTTGGGTACCTTCGCCAGCATTCGAAGACTCTGACGTCCTCGTCCTGTCTTCTCGCTCAACATCGCCAGGAGGTGTCGGTGCCACGCTCTTTTACCTCGATCTGCGTCTCTCCCTTCCGTTGAGTAGATCGAGCAAGATCAACTGGGGCTTTGCAGGTCTCCGTCACACTGTGTCTACATCGCCTGTCCGACTCCAGTGGGGCCACAGTACCATCGACTCGCGTGGCGACGGACTGGTGGACGAGGGCGAGATGATACATCGCGATGGGGTAGAGATCGAGACTGGTATCGGATTCAATCCTGCGACGGGCCAAAGAGAACCATACGAGGAAATATGGCGGTAAGACTGCACGCTATATGCACCTTATGAAGTCCAACGGTTAACCCCTTGATCTCGGACGCGCAGGGATGAATCACTCCCTGTAGGATCTCCGTTCATCTTTGTGTCTTCATCCGCCAGCGTGGAAGAAGCTACTGCCGTTATGGCGGTGTTGGGACCTCATGCCCTTGCGCTCGCACAGGAACCCGAGGGCCTAGACACATCTCGAAATTTTCAGGCTGTGCGTATGCATCGGCGGACAAGCGCTCCTCAAGACACGGAGGAAGTCAAATGGGAAATTGTATTCTCTACTGGTAGTTCCACGCAGGAACGAGAGCTAGAGGAACTCGTTGGGCTCACGAATCAAACGTCTCAGTATGTTCGAGGTAGCAACGTCTGTTTAGGAACTAGATCTTGGGTTGTCTGGGACTCTGGAACAGCCCTCGATGATTAGTGCTACTTACTGAGAATCGTTTCGCTCCAGGTCAGATGCTGGCGATACTCTGATTATGTGAATAAGAATCCACTAAATGCGGTCGAGAGTGCTAGCGAGAAAGCAGGTACAGAACCCAAACCCAAACCCGAGGCCTGAGCGTCTGCGTCCTTGGCAGCAAACACTAGGAGGTCGCGAACACGCTTAGAGTCTGATACAAGAGGTCAGCATTCTAGGCTGAGACGACGAGCTTGAACCCGTACCTTATTTCTGACTGCTGGCAGTTGTAACCAACCAATCACCACTCCGTCTCTCATCAGAAGCATCCCACCACGGGAACCACATGTATGTGGGCGTGCTTGCGCTTCAGCTTCGAGAACGCTCAGTTGACGGTCAGACGTGACCATTGATGTAAGCTCCTCTGAATATTCGTGATGCTTGAATTGGATGAGATCGTTAAGGTGAGACATGTCCAAAGTATCAAAGCTCCCGTGCAGAGGCCATCGCACGAAGGCGTCTGGCCTCACGGCCTGCTTCCTTCATAAGCGTGGCCTCTTCGAGCTCCTCGTCGGGTAGTTGAAAGCCCTTGGTACTTGATGCAAAAGGGCCTCTCCCTGTGATAGTGTTGGTGAAGACGTAACCCAAAATGATAAAAAGCTAGACTTTCTCGATGTCCCTCAGGCCTCCAAGGTTCTTCTGTAAAAACCGGAGAGTCCACAATTGGAGAAGTGTTATCTGAGCTAGCCTTCAGTGTGCGGAGTGGGCCCGAGGGGAATGCGGAGTTTTATGTAATAGTAGGCGAATCTTCAATCCACCCGCATCGCGCTTTTTTGTCTCCGCGTTGAACGTTCTAGTTACAGTAAGTACTCCCCGTCGCACGAGGATGATACTTACTTACTGATCTCACAGGACTGTTCACCGGTATGGAACCGAACGCCGGATATCAGCATACAACATCGTTGACGACAATATCTTGCAAGCCAGCCTGTTGACAGGGACAAAGTGTAAACAGATGCACCAAGCAAGGTACAACGAAATGAAACTCTCCATTTGGGCCGACGCGTCTTCGGGTTGCGCGCCTCCCTTTCTTCCTCTCCACTGTCAAGTCTAAGCGCACCAACGCACCAAATGGAACCTAATCTCGCTCTCGAGTACATTATCACTCACGTCTTCTGTCCGCCACGTCTCCCCGGTGCAGATGACCATTCTTCCTCCAACGACCAAGCACTCATCAAGGCAGTTGTCGATGCCGCCCACGCATATACGCGCGTCGTTGCCATCGCTGGTCAACCCGAATGGTGTTTCATAGAAAAAATGCTGCAAAACCTCGGCGCGACCGTCCAGTCTGCAAAGCTCGACAGGAATCGCGTCCTATCTCAGCTCAGTACCATGCAGCACGGAGGTACGCGTTCAACGATTGTTACGCGCATGGCCGCTGATGATGTTCGAATGACACGTAGACGTCCTCGCACTCTTCATTCGCGCCCAGAACGCGGGGGTTTTGTTTAAAAAGCAGAGCGATGTTACCGTGTATACGGCCTTTGAGGTATCCCCGCAAGCAACTTCTGTGATTATGGCGCGCGGAAAGCTTCTATGCTCGTACCCTGGTCCAGCCATCGACATTCCCAACAACGTCTTTGATCATGCTGACTTCCGGTCTCAACTCGCCAACTTCCTCGTGTGCATGAATGAAGACGTGTTGGATATGAACACGGGGACCCTCTGCACGGAGGAAAACGCCTTTGAACGTCGAGACACCACCGACCCACGCCACATCACAGAGCTACTTACCGGTATCTTGCGGGGGGTTGGACGCCCAGCTACCAGTGTTGTTCGCATCACCAAACGCATTGGCGACGACGTTGTTGTCTCGGGCAGTTCATCGCTCCCTTGGCGTCGCTCCTCGCTGTGGCTCCTCGTCAGAGTTGCAATTCAGACATCCCTGGAGTCGTCTCCGCAGGGTCACGACTCCTACAAAGGCTTCATCATCTTTTTCCTCGCCAGACTCGCAGAGGAAGCGATCCGGGCAGACCTTCCCAACGATCTGCTCTATTTTGCGTCAACCAAAATTAGTCGGCGATTGAGGAAGCTCGGTCCTCTCGCGCCTGGTTGGCTCACGAAAGCAGCACTTGAGACCTGTAATCGCGTTCGACAGGTTCTCGATGACAGGTGGGAACAGGTACAGGCTGTCCAACGCACGTCTCCATCCCATGCGTTCTCAGAGCTCAATCTTAATCATGACGTTCAACTTTCGCTCTCGTGCAGTCGCGAATACCTCGCAAATTGCCTACTTAATAGGGATACTGTTCCTGCTGTCCCCTTCCACCCCGAACATCGTCCTCGAGGCGCTCTTCATGACTTTCTGTCTTCCGATGGAGCCTTTTTCATGAAAGCATTCCGGACTGAACCTCTTGTCGCCCTCTACGACGTCGAATGTGCGGTAGAGCAGGGCATTGATGCCTGGGTTGACGGCGTCACGGATGCTGGCGAATCTGGCGAAGCTTGTGTCGAGTTGGATGTTTTAGCCGACAAGTATTCTTCCGCCGCGCTGAAAACGTACGCGAACAATTCAGAACAACTTTCAATCATGCTGTTGACCACGATCGAGCTTTGGATTGCGCTTGACAAGCTGGCTCTGGACGAAATTCCCATGCTCAACGAGTACAGCCCGGAGATCTCACAACCTCTATTGGAAAAACTGCTCCTTCGCAAAGCTAGCAGCATTCGTCGGCTTCACCAAGCGCACAGATACCTCTCTCGTCGCCACTCTCGAACTGATTCAGGGCCAGAATCTTCCGTCTTTTCTCCAGTGATCTCGGAGGAGACTTTTGCAGTGCGCTATTATAACCAATCTTCATCACTCCAGAACTTGAGAGGTCGGATTGAAGGAGCTGCGCGGCGAGAGGTAGACAAGAAAAACCAGGAACTCGAAACAGCCAACAAGCAGCACGCCGAGGTCAAGCTCGAAGCGGATGGAATCGATCACACATATGTTATTCTGGATGGAAATCCATACCACTCGTCAATTTGCCGCAAGTGCGACCTCGAGGAAAAGCTCAATTCGATGGACTTTGATGTCTATGAATGGCCTCTCCCGGACGATAACCTTCGCGCAGTAGTCGTTGTGTTCGAACTTGCCTGTCCCTTGACTTTTAGCATGTGGCGCTCTGCCACGTGCCGACTCTTAGTTGGCCTTTGTTCCCAACGCCCCCGTGGAAAAAGGCCCTATCTCCTCGGCGACTATCCTGCACTAAAACGCTATTTGGTGCAGCATCCAAGATCCCGCATTACCCTAGCGTCGAGTTCGCGACCAGTGGAACGTAACGCAATCTCCATCCCAGCGACGGAAGACCAGATTTGTATTAGAAACAGTCTCGAATTTTTCGGTTTTGATACCTTGGAGGGTATTCCTGTCGCAAACGCCTTTGGCAAAGTCGATATCAAGCGGTACTGCACGTACGAACTCCAGAAAGGTCCATATTGTAAGTCTTCAGCAATACGTCGATGGCACCATCCACTTCCCGAACGATGTCATAGCGGACCAAGCTGATTGTCCCAAGGATATCTCGAGACAAGAGTTTCTGGCATTCGGTCATTTGCGCAGCGGGGGGTCTCTCCAATGGCTTAATATCCTACGAGAGCTTCGCGACCGCTCGCTTAGCTTCCGATGCCCTGAAGTTCATCTGTTGGTAGCTCAGGCGATCATGCAAGTGGGACCGCTTTCAAGTACGGGGTTGAAGTGGTACATAGAACTCCAAGAGGATACCTTTTGTCATGCGCTGGTCGACGAGCTCGAAAGCCTCGTTGTGGATGTCGAAGCCAACTGGTTGGAAGGGGTGACAATGAATACTGTTTCTTTGTTGCTCAGTCGACTACTTTCGGCCAACCCCGATGATGCGGTTTCGGAGAGAGTTATTCAGCTTCTTCGCAATGTGCGCATGAAGACATTTTCGTGGGTCCGGGAGCTATCAGACAAACTCACAAGAACACCAGGGGATGAAGAACTCTGCGGGCTTTTGCGGGATACTGCCGCCATTTCCCGCAGCACATTTGATGTCGAACCAGCTATGGTTGAACAGCTCCTCAACTCTGCCGAGGACGTCGAAGCCTT